ACCCTTTCACCCACAGATATGATCCAGATTGGTCTCAAGAAAACAAAATATATTCAGAACGAAGTTTTAGCATGGAGATCATTTTGTCCTTGGCTTTTGATCATAAAATTTCGCTTCAAAATACTAACACGAAGCCAGAATGATTGAATGGAAAAGGAAGTCTATTCAAGAAAATAATTTCCTTGACATTGACCTCTAACTTGAAAATTTATTCAAGGTTACTGTACACCCTCCACCCAAAATCACTGTCATCTTTCATTTGAACACAGGCACTTGACGGTACTTATTTTTCTTTTAATAAAAAATATAGGCTATCACTACCTAACAATAAACAGTAATAAAGATTGTTTTTGGAATCAGTTCTTACTTTAACCATAAACCTAAAGCTTTAACCGGTTATTTTATAAATAATTCCTACAAATACATTGACCAATTTAAAAAAGGGATATCACTAAGATTATCAAGTCGAATGTAAACTTCCTGCCCCCTTTGTAGTCATTTCTCGGATTGCTGAAGCAGTAGATGAGTTTGGCGAGAGATTTTTAATATTTGCAAGTGTGATGCCCTCTTCTGGTTGCACTGTCTGTAAGTTTAGACCTCGAAAGACTGGCCACAGAAAGAATATGGTGGCAGGGAATTTATTTTACCGAGTTTCAGACGAAAATACAAGACTTTTTGTGGATATGACCGACTTGGAAAAATTCAAGATGGCGCCTGATATGTATACCTTGTTTATTTTTAGGTAGGGGGTATATATATATATTTTGATTAATTAAAAGAAAAATACCCCAGTTAGTAGCATCAAATGCCTGTTGATTTGAACTTCGTTTCAGCTGAGAGAAATACCTCATATGCAGCTGATCTGTGGGCGTTGACGATTGAAAAGTTTAAAAATCAGCGCCATACATGTAGTTCCGCCACAGTTAAAATATTAGCGCATTGGTCAGATCGTCGACGTCAGTACGATAAATTCATAATTTATTGTTCAAATAAACCTCTGAATCTCAAAATTATTTCTTTTTATTTTAAAAATATTTCTGTATTTATTACACTGTAGTTTCTAATTACTAGGGAAATTTGAAAGTCATAGCTCTACTCACTCAAAAGCAATGAGTAAGGTTAAAATTAAGGATAAACAGACAGGCAGCTAGACTAACAGACATGACAAAAACTATATACCCCCGAATCTTCGATTACGGGGGCATAAAATGAATTATATTATTACATAAAGAGTTTTTAATTTTAAGCCACATTTTTGCATTTTTTTGTTGACGAAATTAAATACTTGTAAGTGAATTTAGAGTTTTCCTTCCTGCCTGAGGAGCAGATATCCTTATATCCTTAACAGTATCTGTGTAATCTTTATGCCATTCAAATAGAAGATTCGGGGGGATATAGTTTTTGCCCTGTCCGTCCGTCTGTCTGTTTGTCTGCAAAAACTTTACCCTTGCCCATAATTTTTGACTGGGCGGGGTAGTGATGGAACGATTGTCGGCGACAATCGATTGTCGGTCGTTAGAAGCTCTTCGATGCTACTAATCGATTATAAAATAAATGTCGCCGACATCGCTAACAAAAAATAGAATTGTCTAACTTTAATTTTATTACCAAAACCAATTGCAAAGCGCATAAAAGTAGTGATGAATGTTGAAAACATGAAAGGATCCCGTGTCTTGTTGATACATTTACCGCCATGATTAGGAAATATGGGGTTAGACTAATACCAGGAAACGGTAATATTGCAAGTAAAGAAAAACATAATTAGTCTAGTCAATTTTTAAACGTAATTATAATCATAAATACAAGTCTAACATGAGGATAATTACTTTTACAACTTGCAATTTTAAGTAATCAAAACTAATTTTAAGAAATAAATACGTACATGTATTAAATGAAAGGTGGGACTAATATCAGTAAAATACCCATTGCATGGACTTTATAAAAAAAATAATAAATTCCCATTCTGTTTCAATAGTCCTATATTGTTTAAAGTAGACAAAATACTATTTTCCACTTTTTAAAAAATAAATTTCAATTAAAATTTTTGAATATTTAATGTAAGTGTTTTTTATGTAAAAGTCTGACAGAAATCTGAATAAGTTTTAACTTTTCTATATTAATTTTATTGAAGTTCAAAATTTCGATTATAATCGATTATTAATCGATTATGCCCAGCCGATTATAACCGATAATCGATTATGAATTTTTTCCGATTCCCCATCACTAGGGCGGGGGGCTATGGCTTTCATATTTCACAGGTGTATTCCTTGTGACAAGGCCTTCATTGAGTACCACCAAATTTGACCTTTTTAACTTTACTTTTAGGTTTGACCCAACTTTACACCAAAAATTCCAAATTTTTACTTTGGCAATAACTTTCGAACTGTTGGTGCTCATACTTAGATACTTCTCATACGTATTCTTTGTGACAAGACCTTCTATTGGATACCAATAACTTGACCTTTTGACCTTGGAATTTGACCTTCTTTTAAACAAATTTAACCTTGGCCATAACTTTTCAACCGTAACGGCTAGGGCTTCCATACTTCACATATGTAATCCATTTGACAAGACATTTCATTGGATACCAACAACTTTTACCCTTTTACCTTTTTAGCTTCACCTTGGAGTTTGTCTTACTTTTTAAAAACTTTAACTTTGGCAATAACTTTTAAACGGTTGGGGCTAGGACTTTCATACTTCACATATGTATTCTGTGTGACAAGACCTCCCATTGGATACCAACAACTTTTACCCTTTGACCTTGACTTTGGAGTTTGACCTACTTTTTAAAAAAAAACTTTAACCTTGGTAATAAATTTTGAGCGGTTAGGGCTAGGGCTTTCATACTTTACATATGATGTTTTCCTTGTGACAACAATTTTCTTTAGAAACCAACCACATTGACTCTTTGACCTTGACCCTGGAGTTTGACCTACATTTAAAAAAACGTTAATCTTGGCCATAACTTTTGATCAGATGGTGCTAGAGTTTTATATTTCACATATGTATTTCTTGTGAGAAAGCATTACTTTGGGTACATGCAACATATTTGATTTGCATTTGAGAAAATCTAACCTTCGCTATGTTGCCATACGACTGGTGTTTCTCAAACACATCTTGTTGGAGACTGTGTATTCCAACAATCTGTTAGAAATTGTGATGGGTACTAATTGTGCTCAAATATCAGACGACCTTTTTTATATCCCTTTGAAGCAGAATTCTGTTCATTTGACAAAAGAACTTACAACACTATGACTGTATGACAAAAGCCATGACTTAAATTTTTTCATTGAGAACTTTAATTGTATAGAAATATTATATTTTCATCTAAATTAGTTGAATTCCAACCTCTGAATAATAGATTGATAAGGGAACATTGAATTTTCTAACTCATACTATCACCCATCACCACATACCACACTGCTGCACAGAATTAATTACATATGTACATATCTTGCAATTGCGGAGCTGTGCAAACCGTGTGTACTACCCAACAAGGGCAGCAACTCAAATTGTCATTTTTACCCCCCCCCCCCCCCCCCCATTAACATTTTGAATTTTCAGAATTTTACTTTTGAAAGTTGAAATTAAGAAGTCTGAAGTAAATTTCAATTTAAAATATCAAAAGATGTAATCGACACTGAACTTAAGATTATTCTGAAAGAAATCTTATTCTTAAGAAATTCTGAACAACCGAGAACTTAAACACCCAAAAGTTCGGTCGCTATCACTTTCTGTGTCTTCGGTCAATATCACATTGCCTTGAGTCCTTATAACCACACATCGACCTACACTGAAGTCCATAATTGTATAATATATTAAAGAAAAATAATACAATTGAAACAAGACTTAAGAAAATAAAATAAGTAGATAACCTATCAACTAGAAAATCTACATGTTTCGTAAATAAATTTATAATCAGAAGAAAAAAAAACTAAATATATCTGTAAAGGCAAATTAATATCGCCACATAATGATTAATAGATTTTGCATGCAAAAAAGGAGGGTACATATCAAGTTTCTTTTTTTCAAAAGACATGTATATATACATACATGTATAAAGGGGACCATTATTTTTAATGTTTCGTTTATATAAAGATAATGGTTTAGTATACAGTTAATTTCTTAGTTTAGTATGAATTAATGATATCAGTGTATCGCTTTCCAATTAAAGAAAAGTATAACTAGAGGTACTGTGAGCAATGAGCTCACTAAATGATACCCCCCGCCTCCCATATGAATATAATGGCAGTGTCCATGTTTTGCTCTGGAAAATCAAAAATATACGTCAGATCAAAAAGTAAAATAGAAGGTGCACAATGGCAACATGAGAGGAGTTGCGGATAAGAGATGGGTACCCCAAAGCGTAACAGACGGACGGACGGAAATACCGATTAAAATTACTATATACCCTCCCACTTTTCAAGCGGGGGTATAATAATAATGGATTGTTTTGGGTTTTTTTTAACCCCCCCCCCCCCCCCCCGGAATTATATGGTTACACGTCTGTTCAATAAGTCTCACATAACATTCAAAGATTTAATAAAAAATCACTGAATAATGTCACATTTTAGGTCAATCTAATTAAAATAAAATTAGATGTTTCGAATCCGCTATCGAGAAGCAATATTAGCGGATTCGGAACATCTAATTTTAATTAGATTGATTTTAGGTATGTGTAGACTTAGTCTTATTCAAATTGACAAAGTGGTTAACCTTGATGAGGATGGCAAACTTTAGTTTTTAAATTATACCGTAACAATATTTAAAACTCGCTTTCTCTCAGTGGAAAAAGGTGCCTTTTCATTCCAACACTCCCCATAGATCCGTTAAAAAAAATAATAAGCACGTGTAATTCTGTTGAACATTTGAATAAATGAGACGCATTTAGATTTTAGAATAATATAAATCCATATAAAAGAAAAAGTCGAGATCGGTGAAAAACACGTGTTACACATGTGTTGTGGCTGGCCGCGTGACTTTAAACCTGACAGGTGACGTCACAGTTTACAATGTTCGACACGTGAGGAATAGCATGAATGCAGATGCCAGGCTTGTTACACGTTTCATTTTCATGGAGGACGGTTGAGTATTAAAATTCTTGTTTTGGTAAATATTTCTTACAAATGGCAGATTAAAGAAGAATGGAGACTTGTTTAGAAGATCAGGCGGCAAAAAGGATAAAACTCGAAGTCAATGACAGGTAGGAATTTTTAAAACCGGAAATCGAGTAGTTTAGCGCCTCGTACGTTTACACATATTTTCTTTAACCCCAAACTGTGCAATTGAAGTTGGGAAATAGAAATTTCTTTTCGCTTTAAAATTTTTGTCTAATTGCAAATGAAGATGTGTGTATTGAAACGCTGGCTGTCCCAATTTAGGTCAAGATCTATAAATAGACAACTCTCGCACGTGTCGATACACATGGCAAGTGTATTTGTTGAAATTGTGATATTGAAGCGCAGAAGGGAAAGGGAAGGGGGGATTAGTTAAAAAACGATTTAAAAAGTATTGGTAATGTAAATTATTTACTATTTATATAGTTAAATGAACATTATATATAACAATTGCTATTTTTAATCCAAAAATAATCAATTTTCATGCTGTCATGTAAGTGTATAATGTGGTTTAGTCAATTTAGTGTATTCTGACCCTGACCTCTTTTGATTTTGCGACACACTGTGTGCTATAAATATGTTTGTTCGAGTTTCCACTGACCCTTAAGTACGCATTCAACCTATTTAACATTTGTGAAAATTTAAAATGTTTTGAAAGGAATGTAACATTTTTAATTTAGATGATAATTTAAATAGTAATTCTACAGAAATGCATTATGACAAATGCAACGTTTTGCAAACTTAAGATTTGTCAGTTTATTACAAATTTTATGGCCATGTGGGCCAATATTAATCATAAAAATGCTAAGTAAATAGGCCTACTATTTGCCAAATTCTTCCACATTCGACCAAAAGTTCATATTAGTGATACTTTGCTGCAGCATGGATCGTGCAATGAGCAGTTATCTTTGAACAAATCTATTAGGATTTTTTTTTACAACAGTTTGCCCCACCCCCTTCAAACTGTGAAAGTGTAATATTTTGCTTTCAGTTGTTTGGGTATTGATGATTTATAATCTCTGTTATCAACCTTAAAGAACAAATGATGACTTAAAATGAGACTTTCAGTATATTTATTGACAACAATTTTTTTTCAGCACATGCCCTTCGGGCATGTATGCCATCATTTTAACCCATGCAGCCCATTCCTATATTTGTATATGCCCTACTCAAAATTCTTTCATAAACCAGTTATGATTGTGCAACAAACAAAAATTAAGGTTTTTATATTACTTTAAGGACAGTGTTTCTGTATTTAAATTCTCTAAAGCTCTCTCTCAATGTTAAGTTCAAATTGTTTTCAGAGTCTTAAATCAGCCATGGCCTGCCTGTCTGCCATTTTCTAACACGTTTTTGTTCACAAGTTTTGACTCGCATGCTGGACGTTTGTTGATCGGTGTAGCTGAACTGAATTTCAGAAATAGGATCATGGCTGCAGTCCACTGCATGTCATTGTGGCATCAATGAACATATCGTAATTTAGCAAAGAGACTTCGAAAAAACAAATAGGTTAAATTAAACACTTCAAGGATTATGTCTGACATTCATTTGACAGGTCGTACCGAGAAGGTAACATTAGACTGTAGAATGGCAATCCATCTTAAAACATTACATAGCAGGTTTCGACGAATAACTGGGGTACAACAGAAGAAATGGCAAGTAAACATCGTGCATAAAAAAAAATTCACACATGCCCTTAGGGCATGGAATTTGAGAATTTTTACATGCCCACTGGCAAATGTACTAGGCCCTGGGCATCGGCCTCCTGGGTTATTTCGAAGACTGGACTTTTGTTACCCTTGTTTTTTCAACTTGTTTGTCAAAAGCCTGTCTTGTTTTAGAAAATGGTTATACATAGAGGTAAGAGCATGCTCTGGGATGTAGATCAACTTGAGGATTTAAGCTCCATATGCAGGTTATAACGGTTTATTGCTTCACAAGTAAGGGACGCTGTGGATAGAAAAAATTGACAGTCAGACAGAGAGATGAACAGCTAGACCGACAGATTTTTTTTTTATGAATATTCCGCAAATTTTGGGAAAATAACTTTTATGCGATCCGTGGACATAATCAGTTGATCCTCTGAAAGCAAATGATTAGTTGTAAATCAATGAAATTATTTTATTAGTAATAAATCTTGTCAGCTAAGAATATGCATACATCACTTATAGCTTTTCTTTTGTCTTTAGTAACTATGAAATTAAGAGCTGAGTCCATTATTTAGGCCATATTTCACAGAAATGACTGATAAATATATTCTGGGTTTTATGTCAATGATTTTAATAGTGATGAATATACAGGTGCATTGCTTAACTGATAATTGCGTGTTTCTTGAGAACTGAACTATTCCGCCTTCAATACCTTAGCCTGTTTAAGTTGGTGTAATCTGTCAGTGACTAGAAGTGTCTGCATGCAGCCATAACTTAATTAACCAATCATAATTAATGTTAAGGATGATATACAGATATGACATATTCTGCCCCAGTATAAGAAATTACACATGTCTGATAAACATATTATAAAATAGTGCATCGGTTTTTGATTTCGATGTACGGTGTTGCCATGGTTACTAAAAATAGAATTTTTTGTGATCAAATTTTTTTTTATGAAATAAGAATTTAATATTAAAACAAATTTTGAAGAGAAAAGTTTGCCAACAAAATTTTTCTATTAAATTCTTTTTAAACGCTACTCCTCCTACAGATTTGGTCTGATTTCAATATAACTTGGCCACAAGTAGTCTACGTTAAGATACATAGAATGGTGCATCAGATTTTGATTTTGATGAATGGTGTAAAAGTTTCCTGTGAATTCCTTGTGCATACTCACAGTTTTGGTCTGATTTCAATATAATACACAAGTCTACACTATCATATATAAAATAGTGCATCAGTTTTTGATTTTGATGAACAGTGTTGCCATGGTTTTTGTCTGTGAAATTCCTTCAAAAAAAATTACAGTTGTTCTGGCTTCTTTTTAATCATTTTTTATAACTAGGATGTTTTTTAGAGAAAAATTATTGAAATGTATTTGTTAAAGTTATAAACAATGAATCAGATGACATAGTTTGATTATTAAAAAGTTTTATAATGATCAGTAATATGCATCACGTACAGGCAACAAGTCTCCCTAAATTTCAAATCTTCTCCCTAAATTTCTCTGAGGGAGAAGTGAAGTCTCCCTAAATTTTTGGTCTAGGTTGGTCCCTGAAAACCGTTGATGAAAATATGCACACTACAGTCATGTTCACTTTATGTACAGAAGAAAAATAACATCATTAATATTCAGAAATCAGAACATTCTGTGAGAAAACGTGTACATTATTATCATGATTATATTCAGTCAAAGTCTGATTTTGCTTGAATGATACATTACAATGTCATGTTATTCTGAGAAGATTAATATATTAAAATTTTTATAGTATATTTTGGCACCGATCTGAACTTTGGTAGCCCCAATCTTAAATTTGGTTAAGCCCCCATCTTAATTAATTTTGGTAGTGTCATCAAAATTTTATTTGGATATTTGAGAGGCAAGCTCTGCTAATAAAACAAAATTTTGATTTATTTGCTTCATTTCAGACCTTTGAATTTTGCAATCAACCCAGATGAGTTTGATTTGCAATGTGTGAAGAAACCGAAAATCCCAAGGGTAAGATTACTAAAGTGTCATTATTTTGTCAATTATAACTGTATAAGGCATGCAAAATATGCTACGGTTAGAAAAAATATATATGTACAAAAGTATTCGTTCTTTGAATAATTTTACAATGCAACATATTATATATTTGATGTGAAGCATAAAAGCTGCCTCTTATAGGAAATTGCACATGTACAGAGTACCTTAAGTTGAAATTTAAATGTCTGGTGCAGCATATAAATAGCAAGAGTCATGGTCGCTTCTGAATTTTTACAGTAGGTTTAAGACAATAGCGAAGTCTAAGCTACAATTGAATTATTAATATACAATGTCTTACATCTGATAGGACCCGATGTCCCACCGCATTATAGAGAAGAGACGGAGGGATCGCATGAACAACTGCTTGGCGGAACTCAGTCGTTTGATCCCAGCTAATTATCTCAAGCAGGTGAGTCTCAGTATCTCAGGTATCTCACTCAGGTATAGCATCCTAAAGAGCAATATCTCAGGTAACTGTGATAATGGGCAACAGAAGAGGAGAATTAATTAATGTATGATTAGGTAAATTATCTAAAAAAAAAAAAGAGAGAGCAAAATTACACCCGGTATGACAGGCAAATTTTTATAGTTTGAAGTAAATGTGATGAATTATAATAAGACAAAATATTACCTTGGATGAATCAGGACGTGTTTGAAAAAAAGAGAATTAAATTATGTTTTGCAGGTCTGATTAAATTTCATAGGTAGGGCATGTTTAGTTGTAGCAAAAATGAGAGACTAATTAAGGGCAACAGAATGAGTGAGTATATTATAATTTAACATGTTAATGATTTGTTAATATACATTTAAACATAATAATTGATTTGTTATTATTAAATGTTATTGATTTATGTTTCAGGGCCAGGGGAGGATTGAGAAGACAGAGATTATAGAGATGGCCTCCAAACATATCAGACACCTACAGAATCTCAACAATTTCCACGGTAACGTGTCAACTAAAATAATGATACATTCTTCAGTCCGCAGACCCTTATGTACAGTATTATTTTAAAAATATAATAAAATATATTCATTTGAGAGCCCTTTCAAACTAAAAAGTCCTGCTTTTTTTTTATGAAAGCATTATAGTTGATAAACTTGAAGGTATTTAAAGTGATTTTGAAAGCATTATCAGGAAAATCTTAGTACCTGGTGGTAACCTATTATATGCAGTCAAAGTTTAATTCTTCAAGTAAAAAGTCTTCAACTGTTGAATTCCTTGTTGGCTATGGACATGTTTTACTTTTACAGGTGGTCATTTGGAGAATTTCCAGGTTGATGGTGCGGGGCGGGCCTGCTGTGAGGACAAGTTCTACATGGGCTTCAAGGAATGTCAGGACGAAGTGATGAGGTACTATGTAGAGTTTGAGGGGCGTGACATCAAGGACCCGGTGTGTATAAACATCGGGAAACACCTGGAACAGGCCAGTCAGAAGTTCCTCCCCAAACATGTGAAGGGTAAGATGTTCTGTATTAAGCATTCCATGGTAAAGTTAGGTCAGAGACACACATTTGTTTATTCAACTTAAAAGGTCAATGATTCTGATCATATGATAAATTCAAGTCTTTTAACATCTTTGATTTCCATCAGATACAATAAGACTTCTAAGCTTAGTCCTGAGTTGAGACCCAATGTAAAAGCCATAAAATTAAAGCATATAAAACCATATTTCTATTTCCAGCGAGTAAATTGTGTTTCAGACATGGAGAGATTTTTATGTGTTTCAGAAATGAAAAGTTTTTTTTATGTAAACTTGATATTTGTTTTATTTTAGATCATGCCAGAACCATCAAATCTGATGAGATTGTAATTAACGACACAAATAGCAATCAGAGTTCCAGTAACTTGATGCTCGAGCCCCAGGCCGCACCCCCTAGGTCTGCCCCTCCTGAGTCCCCATCCAATGGCAATCAGGACCGTTTCTTGAGGACCCTCCTCTTACCTAAGGAAACCTCAGCGAGTTCTTTCAGTAGTTCTAGCCACTCTTACAGTGGGTCAAACATCTCGGAGGAGTCTTATCTGTATCCCATGTCCACGAGGAACCCCGAGGGGCACCAGGCTCAGGGTCGCGAGGAGACAGAGGGGTCATACTCGGTCAGTAGTCACTCCACGGAGAAATTAAATCATTCCACTGATTCTGATAGAGACAGTAGTCATAATGGAAGTTCTAAGGAAAGTCACGCATACAAATTAAAACACAACATCATGAAGCGCTTCTCGCAGGATGAGAAACGGGAGCACCACCACCACCAGGGGACGCCGCCGAGCGATACTTCCTCCAGCAGTTCGCGGGAGGACGAGAAAATGAGGAGAAAGTATCTGCGTCACAAGCCCCGCCCCCAAAGTAGTGAAACCAGTTCTGTTCACAGCAGCTCATCGGGAAGTGACTGTCAGTCAAATAACATTCCATTGCCAGCCTTTGTGTTAAACCCCGACGGAACTCATTATCTCCCCATCTGCATCCATCCTTCATTTCTCGAAAACATTTTCCTGAAGAAGGAGTCGGGTAAAAATTCTATTTATCACCCTATAAGCATCCCGGTCAATTTCGATGGGCCTTATATTGCCATGCCTCAGTCACCACTGAGTCAGCCCTGTGGTTTGTCAGGCAGCAATATCCATAAAGACCGGATGTTGGGCATTCCAGAAGTTGTCAACTAGAAGAAAATTTCATTTTTTTTCCACTGTTATTTTTATTAAAAAAAAATTGTCTGTAGTATTATCTGTTGTTCTGATGAGTTATCTGTTTCGAAGATTATTCATGGATCAGTTGTTAACATGGATACCATACATGTTGCTGTAGTGCTAGTACTGTAAAATTGTTAATGTACAGATGTTAAAATTTTTATTTTGTTGAAGAACTTTTTCTACAAATGGGGATTCATCATATTGTTATGTTGTAAGCTACAGTTCATTTGTTATCATATTTTATCATTTCTGTTCATGTTTCTTCAGTAGCAGCTTTTTTCACTTTTATGTTGATTGAGCCATTATAAAATGGATACATAATATATTGGTATCATTTTATGTGGACAGTTTTTAAGGTGCTCTTTTTTCTGTCTTATAAACTCTTAACTTTCTGTTGTAACAATTTTTAACTTTTGTGTAGTTTAAATGATTTGTATTTATTTTTCAAGTAAATTATGTTCAAGATGGTTTGTTAAAGCAATATTCAGGGAATATTGGGAAAGAGAAGTCCTTTTTTAGTCAGTTAGGAAGCTTTTGTATATATTCTGTATAGTTTTGTTTGTGTTGAGTATGGCATTAGAATCCAAACATTATCTGAATGTAGTTTTGCATCATTTTTTTTTCTTCTGCATTATTGAAATAAACTAAGTACATGTACCTTTATAAGGCAGCCATTTTTTTCAAAAAATATGATCATTTTTCTCCATCCCACAAAATATATCAGATATGACCTCTGTAAAATATCTTTTAATTAGGTAATAAAAATTATACTAATATTTTGGCTTAGATATATTGGAGAGGGATCAGGGGTCGTGACCCTTTTTGTGTTGCTTATAAGTGTCGATAGGTCATGACCCTTTAGATGAGAAAAAACACTTACGATTACAATAGTCTCAACTTGCATCATTTTCAGGGAAGGGTCACAATTCTTTCCTTTTAATGCTTAAATGTCTATATTAAACTGTCTTATGTTATGAATCTTGTACATCTAGCAGAGAAGCAACAGAACTTGATATATAAATGTGACATCCTTTTTTCTTGAATGGCACTTGTGTGATTGAATGAGCATTGAATGTTGGTTTTCCGTATCATATATAATCTTTATTTTATTCAGTACTAGATTACGGCTTTGAACAGTAAATTTAATATTTACTGGATAAAGAAATTGTAAAAAGTTGGTGATGAAAATAGCTTCTTCATGGTTTTATAATTATTCTGTTAAATGCACTAGGTACAGTGATGTTTCACTTGTTTTTATGTACAGTACTGTTCTGAATTTTTTCCTACTCTAAGTGAAGCATTTTTGCAAGATATTCTTGCATATTCAAGCTTAATTATGAATGATGTTATCTTACTCACTGTTAATTCAGTGATATTTGTTGATGTTTTTTGAATTAAATGTTACATATTTTTATCACTGATTTATTTGATTTTGAAAAAAAGGTACCATGTGAATGCGGAATTTGAGCCTATTCGAACTAAATTTGCTTGGATGATGCACCGAGTGTTGAACACCCCCAGGCTTCCTTTAGGTGCTGGATTTGACTTACATTAATTAATATTTTTCTGGATGATTGACCAGTTTAAAGCTATTAAATGAGTCCATTCCTTAATAGTAACCACAAGCCCTAGCAGACCCAAATTGCTTAAACATTGAATCTAGGGATGCACACTACAAGGATTTTAGTTGAATATCTAACTTTGCCTAACTATTAGACTCCATCTGTTGAGGTGAGCTCGAATCACAGACCCCCTTTGATTTCAGTATGCTATTTATCTTCTTCTCTGGAACTGCTGAATCAATTTCAATTAATTTTGGTATTTTGCATCTAAGGGAGGGGTAAAAATTAAGAATTTAAGAAGAAGGAGTTAAAATTATGAATTTCACGGTTTTGCCCTTCTCCCTGAGGGATGGGGTGTTCTATCTTTCAACACCTTCTTTACTCCTGACATCAAGCAGTCAAACTGTTGGTATGATTGAAATAAACATTCAGACGTTTTACCTTAATTATAAACTTGATGACCCCAGGATGAAGGGTTCCTAGGTATGGGCGCAACTCATAGTCTTGAAATGCATAACTGGAGTAAAATGGTTTCTCAACTTGTATGCATAAAAGATAGGTGCATTGTTAGGTTGACTTATGAGGCCTTCTCCAAAAGTTGTAAATTCAAAATACAAGAACCTTGGGCTGGATTCTTGTGTAACATGTAGGGTGGGACTCTATTGATTAGTGAAAATCCCCAACTACTTTGAATTCCTTGTCCTCTGTTCTTGGTATTTAGCTAGTAAAACTATGTGCATTTTTACATGTTTGGTGAGCAAGAGTCTCTTCTATAACTTCTACTACCATTTGTGGCCCATAGTGAGTTGTGTAGAACTTTATTGATTAAATAGTGAAAATGCATCATTGCTTTGCAAATCTTCCCATTTTCTTCCTGGTATCAAGCAAACAAAGTATAAAGTCAGTATGGACAAGGGTGTCTCTTCCAACATTTCCGTATTTATGATCCCATTGGTATTTCTTTGAAAATCTCTGATCTCGGTTTTTAAAATGAAATAGGTGCATTACTCTGATGAAACAGGTTTAGGGTGTTTCTTCAAAAAATTGAAATTAAAGTCCCTATATAGGGTCCATGGTGTTAGGATGGGGCTCTATTGATTATTACTAGTGTTTGTTGTATATTTGCATGAATTCGTTGTAAACCATATTTTTTATGCTGCTACATATTTAGAAGATATAGTGGATTGTTATAATGGTGACTCTTTCAAAATAGTAGAAATTGTTCATGTGGCGCCATTGGTTAAAGGTTCTATTGAAATGGACATTATTTCTTTGAAAATCTAGCAAACCGAATGCTCTTTTCTTTATTTAATATTGGTGCCTGTTCCCAGGTTCCAGAACTGTGAAAGCTATAGGTCCCGAGTGGAGTTCTGTAGAATACATTGTGAAAATGCATTGTTTCTTTGAAAAAAACCCAGCCCTTTTGTTTAAAGCAAACTTAGTGCATTGTTTATAAAGAATAAAGACCAAAATATATTGACATTATCTACCGGACTCTGAGTCAGTGTTCTGGAGTTGGGTAATGCTTTATCAATTTTACAGTTAAAATGCATCTATTCTTTGAAAATCTTTGACTTAAAGATTTTAGCTCACCTGAGCCGAAGGCTCAAATGAGCTTTTCTGATCACATTTTGTCCGTCGTCCGTCCGTCTGTTTGTCTAGCTGTCCGTCTGTAAACTTTTCACATTTTCAATTTCTTCTCAAGAACCACTGGACCAGTTTTGACCAAACTTGGTACAAAGCATCCTTGGTGAAGGGAAATTTGAATTATTAAAATAAAGGGCCAAATTCCCTCACAAGGGGAGATAATCAAGAAACGACAAAAATAGGGTGGGGTCATTTAAAAATCTTCTTCTCAAGAACCACTGGGCCAGAAAAGCTGAAACTTATGTGGAAGCATCCTGGGGTAGTGTAGATTCAAAATTCTTCAAATCATGACCCCCGGGGGTAGGGCGGGGCCACAATGGGGAATCAAAGTTTTACATAGAAATATATAGGAAAAATCTTTAAAAATCTTCTTCTCAAGAACCACTGGGCCAGAAAAGCTGAAACTTATTTGGAAGCATCCTGGGGTAGTGTAGATTCTAAATTCTTCAAATCATGACCCCCGGGGGTAGGGCGGGGCCACAATGGGGAATCAAAGTTTTACATAGAAATATATACGAAAAATCTTTAAAAATCTTCTTCTCAAGAACCACTGGGCCAGAAAAGCTGAAACTTATGTGGAAGCATCCTGAGGTAGTGTAGATTCTAAATTGAACAAATTTTGACCCCAGGGGTAGGGCGGGGCCACATTGGGGATTCAAAGTTTTACATAGAAATATATACGAAAAATCTTTAAAAATCTTCTTCTCAAGAACCACTGGGCCTGAAAAACTGAAACTTATGTGAAAGCATCCTGAGGTAGTGTAGATTCTAAATTGTTCAAATCATGAACCCCAGGGGTAGGGCGGGGCCACAATGGGGAATCAAAGTTTTACATAGAAATATATACAAAAAATCTTTAAAAATCTTCTTCTCAAGAACCACTGGGCCAGAAAAGCTGAAACTTATGTGGGAGCATCCTGGGGTAGTGTAGATTCTAAATTGTTCAAATCATGACCCCCGGGGGTAGGGCGGGGCCACAATGGGGAATCAAATTTTTACATAGAAATATATAGGAAAAATCTTTAAAGATCTTCTTCTCAAGAACCACTGGGCCAGAAAAGCTGAAACTTATGTGGAAGCATCCTGAGGTAGTGTAGATTCTAAATTGTTCAAATCATGACCCCCTGGGAGTAGGGCGGGGGCCACAAATGGGAATCAAAGTTTTACATAGAAATATATAGGAAAAATCTTTAAAAATCTTCTTCTCAAGAACCACTGGGCCAGAAAAGCTGAAACTTATGTGGAAGCATCCTGAGGTAGTGTGGATTCTAAATTGTTCAAATCATGACCCCCAGGGGTAGGGCTGGGCCACAATGGGGAATCAAAGTTTTACACAGAAATATATGGGAAAAATCTTAAATCTTCTTCTCAAGAACCACTGGGCCAGAAAAGCTGAAACTTATGTGGAAGCTTCCTGGGAGAGTGTAGATTTCAAATTGTCTAAATAAATTATGATCAGTGGGGTAGGGTGGGGTCACAATATGTATTACAAAGGGGAAATCTACTAAAGAACAGCATGGTCAAAGCTTCTCAGGTGAGCGATGTGGCCCATGAGCCTCTTGTTTACTAAGTACTTGACTACCTACCGGTATTCATGTTAATCCCTGATCACCCTAACTCTCTTCTTTTGGACATTTTGGTTTATTTTTAATTAAATCGATCTCTTAGTTAAGTGCGATTTATTGGTGTGTATATTACATAGACTTGCACGTAGACATATTTTTCATCAAGCGCCAGCACGTTTTATGAAACATGTCTGCGTGCCAAGCATTTGTTGACTTACATACCTGTAACTCACACAAAATTTAAACATTCCTTTAATAAATATGATATTCATTTAGTATATTAATCTTGGGGCCTTGTGAACTCCCCTTTGCAGATTTGTAGTACCTGCAGCTTACAATTTGTGCCCTTTTGCAGTGTAATGCAAAACATTTTACTCCGCTTCTTCTATCACATAACACAAAGTTGGACGTAACTTCTTTTGGAGCCTGGCGCAATGATTTGTCAACGTAAGCCTCCCTAACCTTAGATTTCAATAACAAAAAATATAATCCTTATGAAATTATTATACATGATTGGAGTTTTCTACTTTCTTTAAAATACTGAATTCTTCGATCTATAAGTATATATAAAGTGAGAGTTGATTAAGCCACATATTTTTTAAATTTACTATTACAAAAATTGATATCCTTTGATTCAATGTATGATGTTTCATGAAAAAATTACTTAAATGTCATTTACCCGAGTTCTAATTAAATCTTGTTTAAACATGTACTAACTTCTTGTACTTGTCTTTGCCACAGAATGGCTTTGGTCAAAATAAGAAATGTTTCATTTTAAAATTCTTAATATACCTCTTGGCATTCGGACGACAAAGTGTCTGCATGATATATTTATGCAACAAGCCTCTTTGATAATTTTCTTTCCATCCCATTTGTTGCATAAACTAATTTAGGTCTGAGGGTTTATGAAAGGCTTGTTTTGGAATTTGGAATTTGCTACATGTACATATCCAGATCAAGATTTCCACAGATAAAAATAAAAACTAGGTTTTTTGATTTATAGATAAAAACAAATGCTCCTTAAATAAGAATAGAAATAAGAAATTATCACATCTCTTGATTGGATATTGACAAAACAAAATGACTCCGATAAAAAAAATATTCTGACTTGACGCACAACTCTGAGGTTGATGCTGAAAGGATGCTGCAGGTCCTCACTAATAACATTTATGCAGTCTTCGGAAACCAGATCTTCCAATAAACTTCCGGAATTTCGATGGACATTAATTGTTCTCCTTATACTGATCGACCTGTTTTAGATTCGTATATAGCAGAATTTACCCAAAAACGTCTGAGAAAAGAAAATACTTGCTTGGCCTTCATCTCAAATCAGACATATCGACAACCTTTTATCAATTCAAATGACACTTTTCAATCATACGTGTATGTCGTCTCAATATAATCAAGTGAACTTAAAATGAAAGAGACCACAGAGGCTGTAAATCTGTTTCATATTTGGACGTTTTACTGACTATAGACGATTAAGTCCAACTTACAACTAAATTGTATGACGACAAACGTCATGACTTCAGCTATTTCATCGACAACTTTCTTCATTAATATTGTAATATTCCACTATTACCTGTTTATGTCTCCCAATTTATTTGCTTCTCAAGAGATTGCTTGGAGTACGATCAATT